AACCTCTCGCTTTCCGGGCAAGTGCGATACGCTACCGGGGCACCATTTCATTCCAACTCAGCTTTTCATGGTATACGTACCATAGCTTTCAGCACTCACACGTATAACGTGTTGAGCCGGTTAGCCGATATCGGCAATGACCGCGAGGCTGAAAGCTTTAGCAATGAATTTTGACCGTATATTTTCCTAAGATGCCTTGTTATGCTGTGCGAAGGACGTGACTATTATCCGTTAACTGTAACCCAAGACTCGGGAAATGCAACAGAGTGCAGGAAAACGCACCAATAACTTCGCTCTTCGAATTTGCAATGATAGCCTCAACTTTCTTCTTTAACACGGGCCACACTAGTTCACATAAAGTCCGCATGTTTTCCTAAAAACGCAAGAGTTGGAAAGGATAAATGGATATAGAAGCAAACCACTCACTTCATTACCAAATACGAGCTTCCCTAACGCTTCCCTGTCAACAGCTCCATCCTTGACCACACCTTCGAACTTTTCATTGATCGATTCTATAAGCTCACTTCCGGGTTCGTAGCTCTTGTGGGCTAACTTGTCGCAATCGATCACCTATAACGATGCTTGATAGCAACACCGCTACAAAAGGAAATGTCCCTAGAAGCCACATCTCAACCAGACTTTTGCCAAAAATAGCCGGGATAAATAAGTCTCGCTAAAAATACTGATCACGGAGCATTATTACGACAGAAATGTACGTCATAGTGAGAATCGCTACAAGCATATCCTTACAAAAAGACTTATCATTACAACTACTGAGTTGAGAGAAGCAGAAAGCGCATCATTGAGTTGTTATAGACAATATATCCGAAATAGTAAGAGGCTTGAGAATAACTTTACTTCTGACAAAAAAAAAAACAAGCAAAGAAAAGAATGCTAAGTGAAGGAACCTCGAAGCCGGGCTGCTCTCTCAATATCCTGGCAATGTTGCTCTTTCCTGAGCCGATTCCACCACACAACCCAATGATGTAGGGCTGTCCACTTCGTTCGGGATGTTGAATAGGTGGCCTCAACAGTTTACCGAGATCTTCTCTGAAAGCGATCCCAGAGAATGAGTTTTCCATTCAAACACGAAAAATGCAGCATTAAAAAGCAGAGCCATTTTTTATTACTACTACGTTCTGTAAAAATTAACACTGGAAACACAGCTAGTACAAACTGACTCTACGTTTTTGCTTTCAACAAGCCGCTCGCTCTAGAGCTCCACTTGCCATGCTTATTCAAACGCGGCCAAAAATGTCCACGGCAATGGGATGTAGTTTTTAGCTAATTTGTCTAGTCATTCTGACAAAAGTACTGATATTAAAAAATTAAAAAAATTCGGGTATTTAACAAGTTTGTAAAGGCGTTTTTCCCGGCACTTTGCAGTTCTTAATTATCAATGTGGCAAATCTTTCGAGCAGTGCGGAGGAAAATATACTTCAAACTATAGCAAGAAAGTTAAACAAAGAATATTGAGACAGTTTCTGGATGAAAGAGTACTTTTTACGCGTTTGAAACCTCAGCAACATAGATAACCATATATAACCTCGAAACGGTGATAAGGTTCTGGACCAAAGAGAGCAGTTAGGTTGCTCTTCGCACTTAGGACCCATACTGATGGTTGAAAAGTGATGACCGCACTTACTCTCTCCCACACAGCATATAGAAAAGACCATGTTACTTCTATGGACAGCTTATGCAATGTCTTAAATGAAATAGAAGTGAACGCGTTTACCTTCTCCGAGTAGATGAACTTATTTTGGTTTCCTTGAGCACCTCGTCACTGGCTTCCAAGAGATCAATTGTGATCATATCCAGATGAGACATTTTCCTCTCCTGTAAACAAATCAGAGCAATCAGATGACGTAAATTGATCACAAGTAGCACTGATAACAAGGCGCAATTCCGCAAACCATATAAGGCAAATAGCTTTCCGTGATGCTCAAACATTCTACGTAAGTGAGTGATAACCGGATACTGAGATAAGGTTCAATCGAAAGAAAAGAAAATAAGAAACCCGCCTTTCTCACACGGTTCACTGCTTCCCCTCCTTTGATCGTCTCTTGACTGACAATGATTGCCTGAATTCTTACTCTTACTGTGTTGCCTCCATAAATGTGGACTGATTTATCGTGAAGTGCTTATTTCAATTCGCTGATACATATAGAATGAACCGAATAAAGAAAATTCACATAAACACTCGCTTACTTCCAGATCTGGTATTCGTATAGAAGGACCAAAAGGATCTTCAATCGCTTCAGCAATACAAACAACAGTATCGGCGACATCATATACGAATTCTTCAACTGCTCGTGCTCTAACGGATATTGGCTCGATCAGTTCCCATAAAGATTTTTCTGAGGTAAGAGTAAGTAGAGATTTCGCATAATTGTTAAGTACAGAAAAACGGCAAAGCATACACTAACTTTCAATCATTTTCTTGTGTGTTACGCCACATACGATGTTCTCTCTTGCCAACAAAGCAGCCTTCGAGAGCAAGTACCTAAAAATTGAAAAATTTTGGAAATTAATAATAGTTCAAAAACATACGAACCACTGGTATACAATATCAAGAATATATTCACATATTGAAAAACCTGACCATTCAAATGGGAAGATGCTCGAAACTAAAGAATAGAAAACTAAGGACCATTACCTTGTGGCCATTGTGCAATCGATCGAATGTGCCTCCCAGTACGACCTTTTTGTATTTCGGCTTAATAACGGTAACATCCTGCAACTTCTCGTCTCCAATCAATTGGGCATACTTAGGGATTTTCCTGCCAAGTAGAACGCGAACATCCAACTGAGGGCAATGTATGGATGACTGCAGGTATACCGACGGTAACACTTCATCTAGGCCAGGTCCTTGGAATCTGAAACATTGAAAGTGACTTCTCCGGCAAACCTCTGGCGATAATTCAAAACAATAGAGAAAGTGAAATACTGTTTTAAATCTCAAAAAAAAAACTTACGGCGCAAAATCAGGGGCAGCCCCGAAGGTTACTAGGACTAATCCTAACACGGAAGGAACGAGATTTCGGAGGCGAGTTTAGAGAATACTTATCAGCTCGATCCTCTTCTCTCAAAGAGCTTAGCCGCATACTGCGAGTTTCCGTGCGACTTTCGAAAAACGAAGAAATCGGGCAATTTTTCGTTTTCACGTACGAGCGCTGTTTCGAAATTTAAGACACTGCAAAGATTTCGCTGAAGAATGAAAAAATCGCGCGTGAGCTGTAGCCTGCTCCCACTTATCCTCTAAAATGGAGACTTTAAAAAGAATTCCAACAAAAGGAAGAATAACTTCCAATTTCATGCATTTTTCTAACTATTCTTTTGTTTTATTCAGTTTCACATGCTCAAATATTGACTAAGGCATCATTCAGTGGGTTCACAATTATATGCGGAGTTCAATAGGCCAAAAAACTGAGGATAAAAAAGGCGAAAGAGAAGCTTCTTTTCTTCACATAAACTAATTGTTGAACGAATATCATTACAGTGCAGTTTCACACACATTCCAACCGTTAACCTTGTACAAATCTAACCCCTTTTCGACAATTAATGCTATGAAAGAGTGTCACCTTATATCTCTTACAACAAGGAGGGTTTTCAGCTCAAGCCGTGCGTTTTTCAAAACCTGAAGATGAAAACCAAAAAATACTGTTGATGGTTCGATACCCCATGGCGACTAAACTTAGCATTAAATGTTGGCATCTACGGGTTGGATGGCGCTAAATGTCAAAGTCAGATGTCATATTCATAGTCAGGACCATATTGAGCCAATAAGTAGCCGCCAAGTTTGTAAAGTTTTGACGCCAACGGGATTGAACCATTAACAGTATCTTTCACTCTTTTTTGGTACTACTAAACCGTTCAGCGAAAACGAAACATGGTTTTGTGGTCCTACATGCGTCCCTACAATATGCAAGAAACCGTTTTGAAAAAGCGCGGCTTGGCCTGAAAGACCTCCCTTGTTGGATCCAGAACTAGGCATCTTCCCCATTGTCCCAGAGCTGAGATGATAACGAAGTTGTAAAACACTTCCGTGATTTCAACAAATGCTCGGTGAACGGGGCGTTATCAAATTTTTATCTCATCGCTCAGCACTGAGAACAGCCTGACCCTTTCTGAAGCGCTATCACACAACGGCTTATTGATTCACTGCTAGCAGGAGAAGTAATATTCGAAAGAAAAGTGAAAATCAACGAAAATAAACCTGCGTACCGAATATAAAGACGTGATTTCACGGATTGTGCAGCACTAGCAAGTAGCGACTTCAACGATGGCAAATTGCGTGCGGACAGCACCAGCAGACCGACGTCAGGCATTTCTAAAAACATTTAAGACGAATCAATGCGCAGATCGAGGACTACTACAGGGCTGGTCATTCGTATCGGCGAAAGGGCGTTCGGTGTGGCGGTCGGCGACTGTCAGCGCCCATGGCCGCCTTGTTATCGCTGCTCTTAGGCACCCATTTTGCCCCATTTCATGCTGATGCAATCTCTACCTTTATTGTTGAACGCGCGAATATCTAATTTGTTCTCGTTTTCCGGCGAATCGGAACAGAATTCGGAAATGCGCGCCAAAAGGTGGGCGTTTCAAACTCGTCAAGTGGAACACTTTAGTGCATTTTGCCTTTCGTATCCGAATTCTGCCCTCCGTTTGTATTCTAATCTCTACCTTAACAGTAATTCAAAGTTCATTTCTCACTTATATGCGCTATTTCCAACTGGGTTTTACCCTTATTTCAAACTGAACAAACTTTGCCGTAACATGCATTGAGAAAGTCTTGTCTGCCATATTGCGTCAAGATTACGGTAACTCGTAATTTTGCACAATTCAAATACGTCTTGACAAAGAAGGGGAGCCGTTGTGGGTGGGTAAGCACCTGTGTGACCATTGTTAGAGTGTGCGACATCATAGTAGTCATGAGTCCAAGTTCTCTGTAAGCAGCCAACCATCAGTTATGCTATTATCAGCGGGAGAGGGGCAACCCTTCATGGCGCAATGTGCTTCGGGGGGGGGGGGCGGCTCAGTCGGAAGGCCACTAGGACTAAGCCTAATGCAAGCGAATTCTGGAGCGAATGAAAATTGCTTACGCAGCTCGGATTCCCTCTTTTCCTCCAAAGCTTAGTCCCAAAACTGAAAGTTTTCGTGAATCTGACGCAATGTTACAAGCTGCCCCCCCCCCCCCCCCAGGAGCCACATTGCGCGCTCCTCTTTGCATGCCGCCCTCTGAAATAGGGCTGATTTTGAAGAATTGCGATCGGTAAGAAAAGATCGTCAGTCGTAGGGGTTGAGGAGTACTCTGCAAATACTCTAGCTCTATTCCCGACGGACAGAGCGCAGACGAAAGAGGCGCGACGGTTTGGGGAGCAGGGTCAAGCGTGCGTTGAGGAATCCTCGACACGTCACAGGGGGGGGGGTCGTATTGGCCCGCTGGGAGGAAGAGATCGGGCCGGATTGATGCAGTAGGATCATCACTGTCGGAGGACAAACATCAAGGATCGAATCGATGCCATGGAAGGCCAGAGGATTTCCAATAACAATGTTATTCCGCCCACATAAAATCTTCGTGATTCAGAGGTGTCCGCGTAATAATTTTGACTACTTCAGTTTCATCACCACACAAGTCAAAGGATCCGAAATTCGCACGTTTTCAAGGGATATTTTATCTTTCAAGTGAGTCCTCGAATCTGAAGGGATGTGAAGCACACGGCGCATCCCAGAGTGGGCCCAGTTGCGCGCTTTAACTACGGCTCTTGAGAAAGAATCTCAATTCAGGAAAAATCAAGAGGATTCTGAAAGGTTCATGTGAAATTACAGGGAGGAGTACACCATTCAACAAGAAACGCAGCCTTCAGCGTCAAATTCATAAGCATGTAACCTTTAAAGTTGAGATACGCTAAACAATTTACACTTCTTGGAAAGAGCCAGTATATTCTGAATCCATAGTTCATATCAGTTAAATTAGTGCCAATGTAGCGAAAAGATACCTTTCGCGCACTCGCAAAATCCTCGACGTGCCATTTCTTAAATAGTGGGATTATTAGCAGTTCAAACCGTGTGATAGAGTTATCTTCAGTGGAAAATTTTCTTCTTTATGATGATAGTATTAACTTTTCAGATTGATGAGTTTGAACGGAGTTATGGCTTTGGAAAGCGTAAAAACTCGCACTCATCACGAATTTTCCTCGTTAATTTTGCAAAAATCCTCAACGTGGCCATTTTTTGAGTACTGGACGTATGAAGCTGCTTTAGCAACCGTTTGATAGAGAAAATCTTCTAGTTTTGTATGACGTATCAACTTTTCGAATTTGACGGAAAATGAAGCAAGTTATTGGCTTCGGAAAGTGTAAAAACTCGTGCTCATCATGAATTTTCCTCGTTAATTGATCTAAATTTGTTATTTCTTATAATTTTTGTAATTTCAATACTGATTAGAAAGAGCTCTTCACAAAACTTCCAAATCTGCTTTCAGATTGAAAATTCGTCATACTTTGAAGAAAGTTATAATCATTTGAATATTTGTTCAAATTTCAATAGTAAATAAGCTGCTCCACGGTCAACGCCAAAGTCCAGTCAGCACACAGCTGGCTAAGGCGGTACAAGGCTTTGCGAAATCGCTGCGAATCGCTGGCAGCGAATTCGCGCGATTCGCATAACCCTGAAACATTGCCTAAGGCTTGCTTTCATAGTCTGCGCTCACGACACCGTCGCATGGTCGTGCGGACCGCTCGACAGCGCGACGGACTCAACACGCGCTCTGGCGCGCCTCGCGTTGTGCGCCAGAGCGCGTGTTGAGGTTCGTCACACTGTCCGTGCGGTCCGCACGGACCATGCGGACGGCGTGTGGACGACGCAGACTATGAAAAGCAGCATAAGCGAGGTGGTAATATGAGAACCGTTTCTGTGGGGCTGTAGTACTAAAATTTGGTAAGTCTTGTGAAGAAATAAATAAAGAAGAGATGTTGTCATAGTATGCCATTTTTAGTGACTAGTTTGAGGTTTTTTGGCTCTGTTTCTCGTTTGCTCGTTTGGTAGGACTCATCAATAATGATCATTCTTTGACTTTTCACTTTTGTACTTCTTAAACGAATTTTTTTGTGGACGGTGGGGTAGCAGGGCTTTTTTTATGAACAGTTTTGGGGGAGAATTAAACAACCTTTTCATAGTTCGGCTTTTGAAGAGGGTCGTTTCATGGACTTCGGCCTCTGGCGGGGGAGGGGGGGGGGGGGGTCGTATTTCCAAATTTTCCTCGACGCCTCGCTTGACCCTGTCTCGGGAAGTGCATATGAGTCTGTGTCGACCACAAAACTTGAAATGTGCCGTGGCTCTGATTCGGCTAGAGTTCAGTAGATGAGAGCGCAACTAGGTCTCATCCAGTAAGGGGGCCGACATGGTGGTGCCGACAGTTTTTGCCGCTCTCAAAAATTCCACATTTCGTAGGAGGGAATCCCCGGGGTGTATGACACTCCGCTTTAACTTTTACACCCACCCCGGTCCCTCCTGCAAAAAGTGGGCTGCTTCATGGGATATGAACTGCTGCCCAACCGTCCATGCTAGATGGAACCCAGCAAAATCATGTGTCGTAACGTGATCAGAAGGCGCGTCCATAAGGAGACCCCCGCTCACAATACAGAGGTACTACGATAAGCGATTAGACGAACTTTGAAGTAAGCGATTAGACGATCTTTGACATCTAAGCGAATTTAGACGATCTCACTCCAAGAATTTTCTGAGTGTGAAATCACGAGAATCGTGCAATCGCCGAAGTCGGGTACCCCCAGGAGGCCCATCGCGCAGCAAGAAGGCAGAGTTGGCGGACGAGTTGCAGCGCGTGGTGTGCGATGTAGGACGTGCAGTGGGGAACACTCTATTTCAACTTGACGCGAAATCCCTACAGTACGCGCGACGGGCCGTCTGCTGAGGTACCCGCCGAAGTCACTCAACACAGCGCAAATTACTCGATGAGCATGTATCTTCCAGCAGAATCGCTTAATCGCCTGACAACGTTGTCGTCGATTCGCCACATCCCTCATTCGCGAGCTTGGAATGATGAGAATGACGATGGCTGAGAGACTTAAGCGCCAACTGCTTCTCGTGCTGCTTTAAATTTTTGCCAAAGTTCGCAAACCAGAGATGGACATTTAGAACAAAAAAAGCACAGCTATTTTGGAACGAGAAGTTAAAACAAAGCACACGCGTGCTAATGATGAACTTGCCGTTACACTGCTCGGTTCGTCATCGTTCGTTACACTTCGAAACCTTGTGATCTTTTATCAGTTGTAGTGTGATCCCTGTTTCACAGGCAAATGTCACTTGACAGGTGGCTTTTTGAACTATTCCGCTAAATCCGATTATTTCTCACACTCTAAAGTGCACTTTCCAAGACACATGACGTAGGACAATCTTTAACGCACATCTCAGTACTGACGAACAAATGGATAAGATATCATGTCATGATCAGTTAAGAAGTTAAAGGCATTTAAGCAAACAAATCATTGAATCAATCCCTTCTTGTTCCCTTTGTAACCGGAGCCAGGAAAGCCCGCACTACAGACTCCACAACACAAGTGACGACGGCCTCCAAGTAAAGCTGATTAACTATAGTCGTAAGGATATTGATAGGTGGCGAGTGATACGTAGTTCTACTATATCCTAATTGATAGAATACGATAACATCGGGCTAATACATTCGTTGCTCAGAAAACAATTACTTCTTGTGAGATGGTCGTCATTCGCTGTTGAAGTCTGCAGGAAGACACTTGGCACTGGCCACGGATAAAAAGGGTACACCGAGTGCGCGACGTCATGTATAGACCATTGTCACAATTCAAGGCACGTGAAAAAGGGCACTATGGGATTAGGATGTAGGCCAGCACGTGCGCATGGTCCGTCCGACATCGTGGTGTCTGTGTCTCGTTCCCCATTACGCTCTCTTGTTCCCAACTGTCATTCTCTCAGCTCGGTGCCTAGTGTCTCATAGACTTTCTATCTACTGGGCCCTTCTACCGCTTAGACAACAAAGGGCTTTATTCAGAGGTTTCCATTAATCTCTTTTTCCTTGTTTTTCTTCAGGGGCAAGTTGTTCGGTTTGTGCTATTTCATATTTGAACATCATATTCCTCGTTTTTGTATCGCGGAATGCGCCTCAATTGGAGCCTTTTGTAAATTCAGTGCCCTTGTTTCTCCGGGATCGTTAACTCTCTGATGGTGTGTGTTCAGCAACACATGCTCTGTTTCGTACGAGTCGTCCTGCCTATATATGTAGCTCTGGTTTGGGGACGGAGTGCCATATCTCGTTCTTTTAAAGCAACAGTTCAGGAACGGTTTCGCGGGAAAAAACCACCAATAATGAAGTTGTAGATGAAAACCAGACGATTAATGTATGAAAAACTGGAAAAAAACGTCGGGGAGGGTCTTAGACAGGTACTCTCCCTCTGCCGCTCAGCAATGGATAAAGACGCACGTTGGACGAGTTGTCTGAACGTGCCCGCTGTAAACGCGCTCCATTTTTCAATCAATTTTCCCTGTGGTCCCAAAACGAGCACGATTGCCGACGCGTCCAATGACGGCCGGCAAGGGGGCGGGATTGGGGAAATCCCCAAGAACACCCATGTTTGAGGGACTTTCCACCCTGTTTTTGAGTTTCTGAGGTAAGTTCGTTTATTATTTCCACTGCATATGTTCTTCACTAGGGCTCGTGTATCCCTCAGTAGTAGTGGCATTGAAATTTTCGGACCCTCCCTGAACTGTTGCTTTAACATGCAACCTCGTATAATGCTGCGATAACGGCTTCATACATTATACGAAGTTATACGACATCAGATCAGACATCTCGGTCAATATTCCCATTGTTTCACTGCAAACTGTCCAATTTTCCCAGGATTGTTCACTCCTCGTTGTTCATCGCATGTTGGCCAAATAACTATCATAATGTGTATCGTTAGGTCACGGCGCGACGGCGGCACGTTTGCGGCGTCGCGCGCTCGTATAACTTGCGCGGGCAATTGTTTGAGCGAGTAGGTTTCACTGCAAGCACGTGCTATAAGGCAGTTTGTAATGCTTTTCCGTCTCGTGAATCCATACTGGCTGAATGCCTCGAAATGGGGTTAGTTAAAATAACAAGCGAGCAGGGAGGTGGCATCAGTTCTGCGTCAGCTATGGAAGGTACCTCCCCCCAACCTCCCAGCTCCAGCCTTTGTGTTCTCTGTGCTTTGCATGCACGAACCCTTCACAGATATCCTGTCGAGTTGACTCACGTGCAACTCCTCTGCCCATGACGCGACAAATGCGTGCGTCTCCGCGTCGTGACTTGGCGATATGTACCCCAGGATCGTAAAGTCATGGTGAAAATCCACACACGGGTGGGCCATGCAACCGACAAATACTGTGAGCATACGTAGCAGCTTAGATGCTTCGAGAGCGAATGAGGGAACACTCCGATTCTGGCAATTCTCATTTTCTGTTTGGGATGCTCACACGGTTGACTTGCACTAGGGTTTTGTAGGCATTTGAATGCATACTTGCAGCCTGCAATCTTTCAAATTTGCAACGGCCAACCGTGATTTGCCGCAACACCTCGCTCCTTTGTCCACTTCACTATCCGTGATAAGATAGGGCATCTGGCGGAGTGTGGGTCAATAGCGGGATCGGGTACTCCAACCCGTTACTGACGAGGCGGTTCAGACCAAGATGGGCATATGCTACGAAAGGTGTTACGTTATTCGATGGTGAAAGTCCCTACCTAGTACGGGCGGCTTGGTGCCCTCATTCTATGTTTGCGCCCCTAGTTAGCAAGGAGTTCTTAACCAGTGACGCTAAATACATTATAACGAACGTTTTATGTAAGATATGAAGTTAAAATAAAAGGATAAAGCATTTGCCGTTGATCAATCCCTTTTTGGGATGCGGCACGCATTCTACTTCCATTTGTACATTCGTAGTGGCGTTTGAATGCGATGTGGCCTATACAATGACTTGCGGGGGCCAGCCGATGTACAAGTCAGTGTTTTTATCCTCCCAGACAAGTCTGGTACCAATTAACCGACCCCGGAGGGATGGAAGGCTTGGTTGGCCCGGGCGACTCACGACCCAGGATTTGATCCCCGGACCGCTCGCGTGGTAAGCGTGCCACTTGTCACTACACCACTTCCGCCCTATCACTAGTAGTAGTACATTCAATGGAGTTATACACAGAGCATGTGATCGATACTCAGATACGGTAGCGCTACTGGACCGTAGGAGCCAGTGGCGATACTCAAGCTCGTGGCATGAAAGAGCGGAACCGCGCCAGCGGCAGTAGTTAGGTTCTACTTGACTGCACGCTTATGCCGCCAAATCGTGCCTGTGGTAGCTCTCAAGAGATACTTAGTCTTATGTATATCCTTAACAGAAAAATAGTAACAACATGTCCTACTTATTCATTTCTATGAAACTTACAGATTTAGTTCTATTAGGAACTATAGTTTGTGAGTCCTCTAGCAGTCCGAAAGTTTTCATTTCTTCGAAGCCGCTCTTCTAAGTCCCTGTTTTACTTGGAAAGTGAGGCATTGAGATGAACGGAAACTGACCCCTGTAGATCCTACCAGTGGCAAAACTCACAGTTTTGCTTATGATTCTAAATGGGGGCCGATGGCAATTTTTCGATTCTCGCATTTATTTGAACAGCTGTCCCTCACAGATGTGAGACTCATTCATGATACGAACGCGCTCTTCGGTTTCTGGACAGTCGCGTGAAGAAATACTGGTTCTGCTGATCTTTTCTTAAGAGGTGGCAGGTGACAGGCGATAAATTAGCCGCACAAATTTGTCACTTGCTACGCTTGCAGCAGGTGACGGTAATGTATGCCGTCGCGATCACCCGTGCTGAGTAATTCTCCCACCAACCTTGAGAATTGCCTCAAGTCATCCCTTTAATGCGGCTTGTTCCATGAAATTAATATCGCTCCCAGTGATAAATCCTTGTAGCACGCAAGAGAGAATTCAACGTTGAGCAGAGATGGAGGACGGTGTTCCTCCGGGAAGCCTTCTACATTTTTATTCGCCGAAAGTGAAATATCAGTGATCATCTGAGCGATTAATGTGGTAAAACTATTTGGCTGCTTGTACATACGCTGCATCCTATTTGCACTGGTCAGTAGGCGGAGTTTGTACGATGGGCGGAGACTGCCAGGTTTCCCAGTAACTTTAGCTCGCTTCACATCGATTGCCCTTTTTGAAGAGAAGCTGCCGATCTTCGTTCTAGTAACTTCTGCGAACTTTGGAAGTATCTTTTACCCCAACTCCTCTTCGAGCCAGGAATATCACCCGCTCGAAATCGGTCCTGGTTGCCTTTCCGAAATCTTCAATTTCGGGACTCGGAAAACAAACACAAACCATTAGTGCAATCCGTCTGGGGTGCCGATTTGGTAAATCAGGTTCAGTCGAGTCAGTATTGGCATTACATTTCGTTTAAAAAAAGGCGCAAAAAAGGGTAGCGATAAAAGGGCACAATCACGCAGATGTCCTGATTAACGAGTCCTCATCGGTCTGTAGTAGACCCAGAGAAACAGTCTGGATGTGACCCTTCCTACATAGAAATCGTTCCTACTACAGCGCCGAGGCCGGTGCAAAGTTAGCCGCAGCAGCTGCAATGTTTCCCCTGCTCCGCCAAGCATGCTGCTGTTGTCTGGTGCTCTCTCATCTGATGCGCTCTCTCGCCCCATACTCTCCTCTCCGCGCTTAGTCTCTCATTCCCTTAGCACAGCCGATTAGGAAGGTGAGTGAGCCCTTAACCTGAGCGTTTTCGACGGATTCTTTTCCTTTTTTCTTTACTGCCGGCCCATTTCGCACCAATACATTCACATTCGTGTGCAAGAACCACACCAATTGATCCTGGGGCATGCCTTCAAAGGATGGTGAGCGCCGGTTATTGTTATTATTTCGACTTAGCTCCTTCCCTCCGATGTTCCACTCATCCGATATTTCTGAGACTGAGGCTTTTTCCATTCACCACCTATTTGTTCAATTACGAGACACGCAAGAAAGACGCTGGAACCGCGTTGGAAAACATATACGACTTTTGCTTTGGAACCAAAACCGATAATTAGATTGGAACAAAAACTTCCTTTTCCTTTCTCAGTCAGATTGTAAATGATTAATTTATTCTCTACTTAAATATGTACATAGGAACAACAAACAAGAAATATGATAAAGAAAACAAAGCGGATGCGATTTGCGAATTCTCAGCCAGGCATCGTTCAGAATCGAACCCCAAAATGAACCACTCGGGTTGATAAGAACAATCTGGCACAAATGATTGGCAGGCAAACTATACACGGACCCCTGTCGCTGTCCCTGACTCAGGCAACCGGATGGGGTGGTCCTACATAAAGACCGGAATGTGGTGAGCAGCGACGCTGCTATAAGCGGACAGTATTGGTGAGCGATGCATTCAGTAGTAGATGATCTGATCCTCGTATGGGTAGCGGATGTCGTCGATAATAGTGGACGGCCGATGAGATCGACCGAAAGCACGGACCCTCTCCAATGACCCATTTGTCGCCCCGTCGCTCGAGCTTGATGTGCAGTACTCCTGTAGCGCCTCGTAGCGATAGCGCGGCGCTACCTTCTCCACGTGATCTGAATTAGTCGGGTTCTTTCTATGATTTCATGGTCCATTGAGGAAAGTACTCACCTCAACAAAAAGTCGCCAAGTCCTCTACTTTCAAGAAGTTTCTCAGCTCCTACTCGGTCGATGTTCCTTTCCAGAAGCATTTCTTCCTCATTTCGAGAATCAGCTCTTCGCGGTCGCTCAACTCTTAGCGAATGGCGTTTCGATTCCAACGGCGAATTTCCGATGTGCACTAGACGATTTGAAAATGAAGGCGAATGTGGAAGTGGGGAATCTGTAAAAGATATTGTGAACATTCTGCAAGACACAGCAGAGTGGGGCTCTCTTCCTTAGAGGCAATGAATACGATAAAGTGAGCTAAAATGTTGAGCTGAAAGTTTGTTTTTTTGTATGGATCCGAAAATACCAGTCAATAAGTGATGAAAATTTGAAGATGATCCAGTGATTTCCAGGAGAGAAAGCCTCAAAAAAC